AAGCAAATAACAATGCAAATGACTTCCCCGACAACCCTAGGTAAGCCTCTACCCGTCGTCCTAATGGTATTCGAACCATCGCTCTGATACCAAATTTGTAACGACCCTAAACTAAAACCATTTATACAAAAATTTCAGCATGACCTCCCCTAAAAGTGGTCCTTCAACAACCTGTCCCAATACACAAAACAAAAATATATACTCTAGCATCCCATTCATCACACCTCAACATAGTTCCTCTCATGGTAGAACATGCACACACCAATTAATCCAAATTATCATAATTACAGTCCCAAAATACATGGTTAAGATCTAAAGTCCATGTCTTACAACGTTACATGATACAATTATATGGAAATATATACCATGATTCCATTAGTTTCATTTACATTAAACAAAAGATAAGTTCGTTCTTAAATTACAAGGCCATGAATACTAACTTAGTTACATTTCCACAACTATGAGTATACATAGAATGGTCAAAATACAAAATATCAAACAACCTTCTAACAACTTTCAAGTTTGCGGAGGATTGTCATCCGCCGTTTCTTTGCCATGACCTGAAAAAAATAATAAGTATGCAAGGTGAGCTATATGCTCAGTAGGTGACACTTAAGACACGCATCTTGTGTCCCCGTGAATCCAAACATAGAATAGGTCAATAGGAATGGGGATCATACAATATCAGGATAATACAACAATCCAATCAAACTCAAGTACAAACAATGCAATGCCATGAAATGCGAATGCATGCCGATGTCGCTCCCCGTTTTCACATTTAAAATCCATCACTTTCAAACTGTTAATATAACCCGCCCTTTGGTGACCCTGTAGCGACACGAGAGGAGGATTGGCTAGTGTCCCTGACCCTTGGTAACCCCGCGGCGTCATTATGGGACCCAGCTAGCTCAACCACGCTAGGGCGACTCCCTAGTCCCCTCTAAGCTATATTAACACTCCGGCCCTTTGGTACCCCCGCGGCGACCGGGTTTTCCAAAAACACTTTCATCAAAATACTTTTCCCCAAAACTACCTATTTTCATTTCAAAAACAATCTTCCCAATCATGTTTCATGGTATGCATGTACATCATGTTCTTAATGCCATGGAAGTGAAGGCTTTCACATTATACAATTATGCATACATTACAAATACTCTAGGGAAATTACACATGCCATCCTATATCATTCTAGCAAGTTTTACAACAATATAAGCATGGTAAATCAATTTATCAGATAAGGAAATTAGTCAAATAAACATGTTCTCATACAACTCAAGTAATACATTTAATCATAACCTCACATATAACACTTACATCATCTTTAATACAATTAATTCAAAAATAAGCATGCTTTTCAACAATTTAGGAGGTATAATTCACAAAAGAGCAAGAACATCATGAGTTAAGGGCCCCTACCTCAAGATTGCACAAAACCCTTAAAATGGGTCTTGAATTTCGAACTCCAAGAAGGGCACCAAATCTGGAATTGTTCGTATGGATGCGTAGAGCTCGTCGTGGGCTTCGTTTTGCCTCAAACGGCACCTAAACCCGCCAAGAATTGAGAGAAAAATTAAGCCTTAAAGCTTGAAACCATAAAAAGAAAAAAAAAAAGCCCAGAGAGCTTCTGGAATGAGAGAGAAGTTGATACGCAGAGAAGAAGCAATAAGTCGTTATATTGGCTTATTAATCATGTGGGCCCCACAGGTGAATAACATTTTATTTAACTTTAACATATATATATATATATATATATATATATATATATATAAAGTTAAAAACATTACAGACGGCCAGTCGGAGTGTACTATCCAGATTTTGAAGGATATGCTTAGGGCATATGTGCTTGATTTGGGAGGTAGTTGGGAGGATCACCTTCCGCTTATTGAGTTTGCTTATAACAACAGTTATCAAACAAGTATCCAGATGGCTCCATTTGAGGCATTGTATGGTAGACCTTGTAGGTCTCCCATTTGTTGGACTGAGGTGGGTGAGATAGCCACCTTAGGACCCAACATAATACTCGAGACTACCGAGAAGATTAAGTTGATCAGTCAGAAGTTACTCACAGCTCAGAATCGACAGAAGAGCTATGCGGATAAAAGGAAACGGTCGTTATCCTTTGAGGTAGGAGACCACGTTTTTCTTCGGGTTTCTCCACGGAAGGGTTTGATGAGATTCGGGAAAAGTGGCAAGTTGTCGCCACGATTCATTGGACAGTTTGAGATTTTGGACCGGGTAGGAGAGGTTGCCTACAGACTTGCTTTGCCACCACAGTTGGACAGGATCCACAATGTTTTCCATGTATCGATGTTACGGAAGTAGGAGCTGGATCCATCTCACATTTTGAGTTGGGTTGATATGGACATTGATGAGGATGTTTCCTATGAGGAGGAACCAGTTAAGATCCTTGACACACAGCAGAAGGTGTTGAGGAAGAAGACGATATCATTGGTGAAAGTTCTTTGGAGACACCACGGAGTCGAGGAAGCTACTTGGGAGCTTGAACATGAGATTCGCTGCAAGTATCCAGAGTTGTTTTCTCCCTCAGGTATAACTTGATTTCGGGGACGAAATCTTTTAAAGTTGAAGAGAATGTAATGTCTGTGTCTTATTTATATATATATATATATATATAAAATTATGGTGTGTATATATTTGTGTGTGTGTGGTGAGAGTTTAAAACCAAAAAAAAAAAAAAATGTGGGGCCCACGCCCTTTTAAAGTGGTTATGAAACCACCTTTGGTCTCTGCTTTTTCACTCTCTTTCTCTTCCGTCTCTGTGTTCGTCTCGGCTTCTGTTTCTTTGTTTTTTTTTTTTTTCACTTCTAGCTTTCATTGTTGATTCCCCTCTCAATTCTTGGTGTTTTTAAGTGTCGTTTGCGGCAAATCAAAGCCCACGGCGAGGCCTACAAGTTGATAGGAGCAATTCCTTGGTTGGTGCACCATAGGAAATTCGAAAATCCTAGGGTTTGAGGTGAAGAAATTGGGGGTTTTACATAAAAGTGAGGTAGGGGTTCCAAATCCATGCAATCTTGTTCTTTTGTGAGTTAATCCTTTATGAATTATTGTCTAGTATGACTAATTTGTGTAAAATTTAGCAAATTACTTGGTTGTTTTATATATGTTGATGTGTAGTTATGTGTATTAATTGACCCATGTGAAGAGCATGCCTAAATGTTGATTTTTTTTTATGCCTATCATGCTAGATCTCAATTGTATGAAAACATGTTGTAGTTTTACTTGAAAATTCTTGTGAATCATGCTATATTAATTAAGTTTGAGCTAGTTATGGAATAATGAACTAGGACATGGCATGATGCATCCATGCACTAGCATTAGGCATGAAATAGGATTAATGTGATTTAAAATGAAAAAGGGGAATTTTGGGAAGAAGTTTTGATTAAAATGGTTTTGAGAAAACCCGGTCGCCGCGGGGTCACCAAAGAGTCAGTGTGTTAATATAGCCTAGAGGGAACTGGGGAGATTGCACTAGCGTGGTTGAGCTAACTGGGCCCAAAATGACGCCGCGGGGGTACCAAGGGTCAGGGACACTAGTCAATCATTCTCTCGTGTCGCTGCGGGGTCACCAAAGGGTGAGTTATATTAACAGTTTGAAAGTAATGAATTTGAACGTTGAAAATGGGGAACGACATCGGCATGCATTACATTTCATAGCATCATATTGTGTATGCTGAGATTGGATTTAATGTTGTACTTTCCTGACATAATATGACCCCGATTCCTATTGTCCTATTCCTTGTTTGGATTCACGGGGATACAAGAGGTGTGTCTTAGGCACCACCTACTGAACAATTTTGCTCACCCCTTTTATTTAACATTTTTTTTTCAGGAAACAGGAAAGAAGTGGCTGATGACAATCCCCCGCAAGCTTGAAGAAGATTAGGAGTTGTATTTTGTTATCTTTTGTATCTTAGTCCATTTTTTTGGTATAATCTCAAACTATGTAAAAGAGTATTCATTTTTGCAAATCATGGCCCTGTAACATAACTAAGATCCTTGATTATTTTTGTTGTAAACTGAGATTATGTAAATGCTTAAGTTGAATGGGATGATGATGATGGGCTAACTTGGGGAGGTTGTTGATGTTGTGGTATTGGGGAATGTATTATATTTCTTTTGTATTGTGTGTTGGGGCAGGTTAGATAGGTCTTGAAAGGCTGTTACATTTTTTTCATTTGAACAGGTTGTTGTAGGACCATTTTTAGCAAAGGTCACGTCAAATTTTCTTTTTTTAAAATGGTTTCAATTTTGGGGTTGTTACAGTGATATCTATCATTTTCATTTTTTTCTTAAGCTCTCAATGTTTTGAAAATCATGATCACCGAAAGTGTCCAAAGTGAATAGTACTTTTTTTTCCATAAGTTCCATTACAATTCAGGGGGTAAAAATAGTTCCTTGTAAGTTTTATACAGTTTAAGACTTCTGAGCAGTACTGAGACAATTTTGGGGAAATCAACTATGGAGTATTTAATAGCCAATCAATTAATTTTTTTGAAAGGCAAATTAGAAAGAAACACATATAATCTAAACAAGTTTATTGTTGCTGCCTGATAATTTTAGGCCTAATGTTATAATCAAACGATAAAAGCAAAGTTAGTAGGGGTTGCTAATCCTCCCATTTTGGTCAATATAAGTTGGTTGATTCCTTAGAAAATGGGATTCTAAAACAGAAAATATCCATTTTCATACTATTACCAATTTACAATTTATTTATTTTTGTTTTTTCTTTCCATCAGGTTACTCGCTCAAGTTTGTTAACCTTAATTTCAACCAAAGTACTCGCCCCAATAAACAAAAAAATGTCACTAATAATTTAAACCAAAGTACACTTTATTCTCTTCTTATTCTTTAATTTTCTTGTTGATCAAATCGTACGTTCCATTTGTCAAACCATGTTAGAGAAAAGGAGACAGTAAAAGTTATACTTTTGCAAGTAATCGAAACACCTCCTGCACCACATGAGTTGAGAGTCTAACATGTGCTGAAACTACATAACTCAATTCACATTCCTCTCCAGGTAAGTCTGGAAGTTGGAAAAAAATTAAGAAGACACTTTGTAACAATTGATTAACAATTCTCACAAAGTCTCTCTCTTCAAGCATTAATTACAATGTCAAGTTCTTCAACTTGTGAATCCCCACAAGTTCATCAGCAACCTGGTTCAGTAGCAGCTCAAAGATTTGATGCTCAAACCCAATACAAATCTCTTCAAAATCTTCAAAATTGAACACTCCCTGACTCACCCAATTGGAATCTTCCATATTCTCTTCTGCCAACCTGCAAATTTGAACCAACATTTCAGTGTAACACTCTGTTTCTTCACTCTTCACTGCCTTGTCGTCTTGGTGACTGCTCACTCTTAGTTCTTGATCTTCATCAGTATTCAAAGCATGACAGATTTTTGGACTTGGGTAAACACAGTTGGTGATTGTTGATGATGAGTTTGCCCTCGAATTCAAATTCATTAACCCTATATAAAAAAGGACCATAAATTTAGCTGATTGTTAAATTTGAAAAACAAATCTCAATATCTATCTATAGCATCTAGTTTAAAAAAACAAACCTGGTATAGGACTTGAGTTCAGTGAGTTACAACACTGAGGCTTTACTTTCTGAGCCACATTTTGATTCTTCTTCTTCTTTGTAAAGCTTGATTCAATCAATGCTTCATCTGGTTTTATCGGGTTTGCCGGACTTTTAGGCTTCAAAGTTGAAGCTGGTTTTCTACAACCATCCTTCTTATGAGGTAAAACATTGCTAACCTCTGAAGAAGTTTCACCAGAGACCCTCTTTTTCTCGTCCATTATTTCCTTACAAACCTTCTTGTTCTTGTTGTTTCTATCAGCATTCCTTTCCTTCATAGACAGTGCTTTTTCTCTTGTGTTGTCTCTGTTTCTACTTCTCTCCGCCTTCTTGAGCTTCGTTTCTTGAATACCCTTATCCAAGTTTTTCTCCTTTACCCTCTTTTCATTGGCTTTGCATAGTGCTTTCTCGAAGCACAGAACAAAGAAATCAGGACTTTGTTGATTGATAAACGTCGGAGTTTCGCGAAACGAGACGGATGTTCTAACCCTGCGATGCAGGGCTGCTTGTGTTGGATCGAATTCGGGCATGTGACCCGTGTAATTCACTGATCTGCTTCGCAGAATTGATTCAAGACTTCTCTGTTTTGGGATGGCTGGCAATGAGTCTAGACCCATTAGTCTTGCCACTATTCCTGGGGTGGCTTGAGCTTGAACCTGAGCCTTGGCCACAGTGATGGAGTCTTTTTCTGGAAAATTGAAGTTGGTAGGGTCTGATTCGGGGATTTGATCAGAAGGGTAGGTTGGAAGACTGCCGGTGCATAGGAGACGGCGTAGGACGCCTGAGAAACACTTGGAGGTGGCATCTTCAGAACTGCTCATGCTTGCGTGTGTGTGTGAGAGAGAGAGAGAGAGAGAGCTATGCAAGGCTGAAAATAACTTGATAAATACTGTGATGTGGAGGAGAAACAAAACAAGGATGGTATCTCACCAAATTAATGAGACAGAACTCATTAAAAAAGTGGTAGCATAAATCTGTCTGCCACTTGAGAGAGAGAAGGCAAAAGGCATCACTATACAGTGTTACACCACAGAGAGAGAGAGAGAGAGAGAGAGAGAGCTAATGGATGAGAAATGGAGTGGTAAATAGTGAGCTCTGAAAGATAACAGTAGATTAGTGTCAGGAAGAGGAAACACTAGTAGTACTAGTATAAAAGAAGAGGCAAATGGTATTCAAAATTGCCAGCAAAAACAAGTCTGAAATGCAAGGCAGTAGGGTTAGAGAGAGACAGAGTTTGACTGTTGTTGGATTTGGATGAGACGGTGGTTGAAACACGAGCAAAGAAACAAGAGGATGAGAGTCTGTCTCTTTGGTCATTGAGTTCACACTACACACAACAAATGAAAGCTATTGAAATATTAGTATTCAAAACAGAGTTTAATTTAGACTCAGAACATCAATTTAAAACCCTTTTCTGTCATTTCAACACTTCATTCAATCGAGTAACGTAAGATTGTGTGAATCCTACCCCCACAAAGACCAAAAAAGCCCTAAAAATTATAAAACAGTCAATGACCCACTACTAATCTCGTGTACCCCACTAACATAAACTGAGAGAATATGAATGAATATTGAAGATGCAAGAAACTCCTTCTATTCTTTCTCTCTCTAGAATTCTTACACCTCAACCCGAATCAAGATCCCCCTCCTCTTCATTCCAACTCCTATTTATAGATATTTACAAGATATTTACAAGATATTTACTAATTGCTGGACCTGGGCCTATTCCTCAGTAAGCCCTGGTCACTCTTGATGGGCTTACTCCCGCTCGGCCCATATGGCAGTGTCTTTTTATGGGCTGACCCAGCTGTTCGGACTGAAGGTTGTGTTTTGCGAGTCGGACCTGGCCCATGTCATCCAGGGCCTCCTCAACTGCCCCCATAATTGCCCCTTATTTAATAAGGGGTAATTATTGATGGCGTCTCATCATGACGCTGACGGCTCGAGATAACCACGTGGGGGAGCGAACGGTCAGATCCAGAATCAATGTTCCGGGGTTCGAGGGATTTCTTGCCTTCCCGACGCTTCGGCCCTCGGGCCCCCTTGCCTATATAATGCTCTCGAATTCCACTTCACTTCCCTTTACCGTCTCCATCATCAGCCAAATCTCCCTCTTTCTAGAACTGTGCTAAGCCTTTTCCGGTGAAATCCTTCGAGAGTCATTCTCCCAGCGATCTTGCAGTCCTCCGAGGTTAGTTTCGTTCTTTTTTACTTTCGGCAGGCTTCCATTTTCCCTCTTTTAGATTCTTCTTGCACTTCCACCATGGTTGTAGATCTGGGTGTCCTTCGTATGAGACTTAGGCTTCCTGACAACATCGTAGTTAGGGTTTGCCCCCAAGACGTTAATATTACGACCGGCGCCGGCCTCCTGCCCGGCGAAGTCTTATTCACAAACCTTCAACTGAATGTCGTTAGGTTCCCTCTGCACCCTTTCTTTAGTTACGTCTTCAACAGATTGGGGATATCCCCTCTGCAGGTCAACCCCAACTTCTTTAGGATCATATCTGTTATGCTCTTATTGATGCGTGACAGAAATCTGGACCTTGACCTCATAGACCTCCTTCTGTGCTATAAGGTCAGTAAGATCCGTACTAACGAGCCCTTCTACCACCTCTACCCGTTCGAGAAGATGTCCATATGCACTGACACAATAAAATCTGAAAAGGGTTGGAGGGATAGCATAGTGGGTATTAGTGGGGCTTGGTCTTCGCCGGCTGCAGAGGATTACCCTATCCCGAGCGCCTTTGGTGTCTGCTCTGTCTCCTCCTATAAAAAATTCAAATCCCATAAACACGACTGCCCCTGTGAAACATGCGTTCCTCGTTTTTGCACTTACTTATGCCGCTCCTTGGGAATACCTTGTGATGACTTGAGCTACAGTGTTTGCAGGGATAGGATTAACTACTTGAAGAGATACGTTCTGAACGATATTCCTTCCTGCTCAGATCTCCTCACTTCAGACAACCTCTTTGCGCTCTCATCACTCGGCTACAATATGAGCAGACTGCAGATTCCCTCTTTTGGCAGGAGGAAAAATACTCCCCCAGTCATTCCTGCTGCTGGGGCGACCTCCTCTCCAGCGTCGGCTTCTTCTTCAGCCACCATATCTGACACTGTCCCGAGCGCAGTGGCTACTAACCCTGCTGCCAGCGCCCCTGCGGCCAACCAGAACGCGCCCTCCCCAGCTACCATAGCTCCTGCTGCTGCGGGGGGCGGTCGGGACAAAGAGCGAGGCAAAAGGCCTCATCCTGACAGTGAAATCGACCCTGAGGAGGAGCCTCTTATTAGAAGGACCCGAGTCTCTGGGCCGGGTACTCTCTTGCACCGAGCGATCAGAGCTCCTTCTCACTCTGGGCCTCCTGCAGCTGGTGGCTCTGCTTCTGCTTCAGGCCCCCCTTCTATCCCCAGCTTGCCACCATGGGCCCCTCGGTACACTCGAACGGATGGGACGTTCGTGAAACCGAACGAGACCATGCTGAAGGATGGCCAGACCGCTATGGCCTACTACAGGAGCATGTGGACTCCGAAGGACATTGAGGCGGCAAAGGGCCTTTCCCAGAAGGACGTGTTCAGTCGCTTTCCCCAATCTGCTATGGAGGTGACTTTTATTTTCTAACTCATGAATTCTCTTATATTACTTGGTCTTGCCTTCTCCCGTTCTGACTATTGGTTTAACCGTTCTTATTGTGCACCTATGCAGACATTGTTTGGGATGATGGCCATGCAGAAGCAGGTGGAAATGGGGAACGCCAGGGCCCGAAAGTATTCTGACAGCCTGGAGGTGGCTAATAAAGAGAACGACCTCCTTGCCATGAAGAATACCGAGGTGCTGGTTCGGCTTGACAAAGCCGAGCAAGAGAGAGATGTCCTGAAAAAGGAGAATGATTCCCTTCAGGATGAGAAGGACGCCCTCCAGCTCGAGAAGAGCGTCTGGCAGACTGAGCAGGAATCACTCAGAGAAGAGAAGGCAGAACTCCAACGTCTTCTAGCTGATGAACAGTCTGCTCGGATGGCTTTTGAAAAAAGAGCTCTGGACGAGCGTACCGCTCTGATCGACGTTATCAGCAGAGTGGGTGGTGGGATGCTGGCCCTTCATGCTCGGTTCTCCAGGGTCGGTGCTCTTCGGTATGCTCAAGGATTCCGGGAAGGCTTCGCCGACCGGGTTCCGGATGAGGGACAGACCAGCTCCACTCCGGATGAGGTAGACAAGGATCTGGGGATCGAGCCTCTGGGGGTCTATGTTGACCCAGAACCCACCGAAGCGGAGCGTATATTTGATGAGTGCCAGGACATCGCATCCTCAAGGATCATCACAGCTCCTCCTACCGCTCTGCCACTGACCGCTCCCCAATCGTCAACCGTGGCTCCCTCTGTAGCCACTGCTGACGCTGAACCCCAGCCGAACGACTCAGTTATTCACCTGGATTCCCCACCTCATGAAGGTGAGGCGGCTGATGGGGCCGAGGAGGCGAGTCGGCAGGACCAGGATGCTGTTGGTACTGAGGCGTCTAGCTAGGGCTCCTTCGAATTCTTCCAGTTCATATCTTCTTGTAATGATGGACACCTCTCTTTTGTAAACTAAATGTTCAATATTAATGAAATGGCCGAACTCTTTTTCTCTATGTGTTGTGCTCTGTTCAACTTATCTTCAGTACATATATATCTTTTCTCTCTTTTTCTTTTTATATTAGTTTTGCTGTGTGTTTGTACGGCAAGTGCCTGGCGCTCGGCTAGAATGCCACTTGCCACTTGGCTTTAAATTTTTAGCAAGTGTCTGGCGTTCGGCTTATAGTGCCAGCTGCCACTTATCTTGCTTAAGTGCCTGGCGCTCGGCTAGAATGCCACTTGCCACTTGGCTTTCAATTTTTAGCAAGTGTCTGGCGTTCGGCTTATAGTGCCAGCTGCCACTTATCTTGCTTAAGTGCCTGGCGCTCGGCTAGAATGCCACTTGCCACTTGGCTTTTAATTTTTAGCAAGTGTCTGGCGTTCGGCTTATAGTGCCAGCTGCCACTTATCTTGCTTAAGTGCCTGGCGCTCGGCTAGAATGCCACTTGCCACTTGGCTTTCAATTTTTAGCAAGTGTCTGGCGTTCGGCTTATAGTGCCAGCTGCCACTTATCTTGCTTAAGTGCCTGGCGCTCGGCTAGAATGCCACTTGCCACTTGGCTTTCAATTTTTAGCAAGTGTCTGGCGTTCGGCTTATAGTGCCAGCTGCCACTTATCTTGCTTAAGTGCCTGGCGCTCGGCTAGAATGCCACTTGCCACTTGGCTTTCAATTTTTATAGTAGACCATTGGAAAAGAAAATTCTTCTCTTCTTTTTTTGTAAATTCCGGTAACTTGCTCATTCATATGTATTTGATTAACAACAAATAACATCCAATTAAAACCAGAACTTAGCTTCTATTGATAGTACCTCTTCAGAGACGTGGCGTTCCAGGGCTTGTTGACCAACTTTCCCGCCATGGTTTCCAACGTATATGCCCCTTTGCCAATGACTTCTGCAATTCTGTATGGGCCTTCCCAGGGTGGCATCATTTTTTTGACCATCCCCACCTTTCTTTTCAGAACCAGATCGCCCGGGGCAAAATCCCTGTGTTTTACTCTCTTATTGTGACTATTCGCCAGCACTTGCTGATACGATGCTAGCCTTATAGCCGCTGCGTCCCTCCTTTCGTCTATCATGTCGAGGTTCAATCTTAACATCTTGTCGTTCTGATCTCGACTCCATGCTAAGCTTCTGATAGTGGGGACTAAATGCTCAACCGGTATAACTGCTTCGGTACCATACGCCATCGCGAACGGGCTCTCCCCAGTCGGCCGCCTTGGGGTGGTTCTGTAAGCCCATAGAACGTTCGGGAGTTCATCCAACCACTTCCCCTTATGATCTTCCAGCTTCTTCTTAATGCAGGCGAAAATGGTTCTGTTTGTGATTTCTGCTTGTCCGTTAGCCTGAGGATGACTTACTGCAGCCAACTTCTGGTTGATTCCATACTCCTCCAGCAGCTTTCTTACTTGCCTGCTGTCGAGGTTTGTGCCATTGTCCATGACTATTGTTCTGGGAACACCGAAGCGGCAGATAATGTTGTTCCAGATAAATCGTCTCACCTGAGTCTGAGTCACGCTAGGATACGGTTCTGCCTCCACCCATTTAGTGAAATAATCCGTGGCCAGTAACACATACTTGTTCTGAGCTCTTGCAGTTGGCAGAGGACCGACCACATCCATCCCCCATTGCGCGAAAGGCCACGGCGAGGCCATTACGTGCAATTCTTCAGGTGGTTGGTGGATCATTGGTCCATATCGTTGGCACTTATCGCACCTTCGAGAGAACTCCTCCGCATCTCTTGACATGTTTGGCCAAAAATACCCTTGTGTCATTGCTTTATGCGCTAACGATCTTCCCCCAGAATGATTGCCACACACACCCTCATGAATAGCTCGCAATACCTGCTGCGATTCCGCGGGGGTGACACATTTCAAGTACGGGCCAGAATAGGACCTTCTGTACAGCTGGTTCCGCACGATGGCGTACTTGGCAGCATTCTTTTTGAGTTTCCTAGCTTCATCCCTTTGCATAGGCAAAACGCCATCTCGAATATAGGTAATGATTGGGTCAATCCAACTCGGTTCATACGGTATGACGTTGACTTGCCAAGGGTCCGAGACCATCGGTTCTTCGAAAATGGACGGCTGGGTCACTATTCCCACTGGAATCACCCTCGCCAATGTTTCACCACAACTTGAAGCACTGCATGCTAAACGGTCTGCATCTGCATTCTGTTCCCTCGGCAACTGTATGAATTCAATCTTTGCAAAGTCCTTGGCTCTACGCAGAACGGCAGAACGGTATGCCCCCATCATGTCATCCTTGGTTGCGTACTCACCATTTACCTGCCGAACAATCAGCTGCGAGTCACTATACACTGTCAAACTTTTGATCTGTAGCTCTTTGGCCAACTTTAATCCATTTAGCAACGCCTCGTATTCCGCTTCATTATTGGTGGCTCGGAACTCAAGTCTGAGTGCTTGGCTCAAGGAAGTACCTTCTGGGGTTTGCAGTTTGATCCCAATCCCAGCCCCCGTCGGGTTAGAGGAGCCATCCACAAAAAGTTTCCAAGAGCCGCTTCTAAGGTCCTCTTCCGTATCTTCGGCATCACATTCTAGTAGGAAATCGGCCACCGCTTGCCCTTTAATAGCTGTTCTCGGCTCGTACGTTATGTCAAATGAACTCAACTCTATGGCCCACTTTGTCATTCTGCCCGAGAGCTCTGGCTTGTGCATGAGCGTTCTGATTGGGAAAGTTGTTAGAACAGCTATGGGGTGGGATTCAAAATAATGCCTTAACTTTCTTTTTGCATTTACAAGTGCAAGTACCACCCGTTCGGCCTTTGAGTATCTTTTTTCTGCCTCCATCAGTGTCTTGCTTACATAAAATACTGGGTATTGCACCCCTTCCTTGCAACGAATCAGAACGGCACTCGTCGCGACACCAGATACTCCAAGATATAGAAATAACTTTTCTTCCGGTTCTGGGGCTGACAGGACTGGCGGATTCTGCATATATTGCTTCAAATGAGTCAATGCCTGTCGTTGCTCATCCCCCCAGACCTGCCTTCCATGGCTCCGAATCGTGTCAAAGAATGGTTTGCAGTGGTCTGACAACTTTGAAATAAATCGACTTAATGCAGCTATTCGTCCTGTTAGGGCTTGCACCTCTCTGATCGTCTTTGGCTCGGCATTCTTAATCAAAGCCTCTGCTTGAGCGGGGCTAACTTCGATGCCCCTGCGGTTGACCACGTGTCCCAGAAACTGCCCGGAACTCACACCGAACGAGCACTTGGTCGGATTGAGCCTCATCCCATATCGCTTTAGTACATCAAATACCTCTTGCAGATGCTTCAGATGATCATCCTTTTTCCTACTTTTCACCACCATGTCATCAATATAGGCTTCGACAATCTTACCCATTTGATTCTTAAAAACTTTGCTGACAAGTCGTTGATAAGTTGCTCCCGCATTCTTTAATCCAAAAGGCATAACCTTGTAGCAGTACGTTCCTCGCTCGGTGACAAAAGAAGTTTTTTCTTCATCTGCGGGGTCCATAGGAATCTGATTATAACCTGAATATGCGTCCAGAAAGGTTAAACGCTCATACCCCGTGGTGGCATCCACCATTTGATCAATCTTAGGCAACGGGAAACTGTCCTTCGGGCAGGCTTTGTTTAAATTGGTGAAATCAATGCATACGCGCCATTTCCCATTTTTCTTCTGCACCACAACGACGTTGGACAACCACTCAGGGTAGTGCACCTCTCTGATAAATCCCGCATCAAGCAGCCTATCAACTTCTTCCGTTATGATCTGATTACGTTCTGGAGCAAATCTTCGCTGCTTCTGTTTCACTGGTTTGAAATTAGGATTGACATTCAGGGAATGACAGGAGACGGAAGGACTAATTCCAGGCATGTCGAGATGACTCCATGCAAATACGTCGACATTGTGGGATAAGAAATCCACTAGCTCTTGCTGCTCTTCTCTGGTCAGTCTTATACCCACTCTGGTAGTTCGTTCTGGCCTGGACTGATCGATCTGCACATCCAGAAGGGGCTCCGCGGTCAAGTCGGCTGACTCCTCCACCCTATTCTGCTCGAGTGGAGGTTCCTGTAATTGCTATCTGGGGCTTGTCGACCGGACGGGCGCCTTTCCCTTCCCTGCATGCTTTAGTGTGACGGAATAACACTCTTTGGCTGCGACCTGATCCCCCCGAATGTCTATCACTTTATCTCCATCGGGCCCGAGGCACCTCATGACCTGATGCAGAGTTGAGGGTACACCTCGGACTCTGTGAATCCATCCTCTTCCCATCAGGAGATTATACGAGGGGTGAATTTCCACAACCACAAAAGTTTCCATAAGAGCTCGCTCTGCAGCTTGAACTTCTACTTCCACCATCCCGACGGGTTCCACCCTCTTCCCATCGAACCCTAATAAGGGATTTCCGGTGGGCTTGAGCCTCTCTGGTTTAATGTCGAGCCTGTCAAATGTGTCCCTTGGCATAACATTCGCACTGCTCCCAGGATCGATCAGAACTCTGCGCACCAAGCACTCTGCCACTGTCAAACTGACTACCAACGGGTCGTCATGAGGCAGTTGGACACGCTGCAGGTCTGTCCAGTCGAACTTTATCTGCATTGACGGGCTCTGTTGGTGTAGAGTGGTCACATTGCCGACCCTTTTCTTCATCTGTGCCTGCCGCAGGCGCACCCGTAGCAGCTCATCTGGCTCTTCACTAGGCTCGGGTCGACCATGGATAGCATTGATTATACGAACTGGTTGCGAATTGTGGGAGCTTTGTTTATGACTCCTTTTTATTTGTTCCACTGGTCGATTCTGCTCCATCGCCGAGCCTTGAACATAACTCGCAAACTCCCCTCTAGCTATCAACATCTCCACTTGCCTCCTCAGGTTCCTGCATTCGTTAGTCTGATGTCCGAAATCAGAATGAAAAGCACAATGTTTAGTTTGATCCCTCTGTTCGAGGGGTTGTCTAATTGGCAGTGGTGGATGAAACTTGTCCTTGTTCTCCTGATATAGCCTCGCCAGAGTGACCTTCAGCGGAGTAATCAACTCTTCCTCCCTGGACCTTTTTTCGGCCTTCCAAGTGGTCTGACGTTGCGGCTGAGCCTGCTTCTGCCTGATCTTTGCCTTGGACTTTTCCTCGGTCGACACAAGCGACGTTGTCCGAGCATTAGCTGCCTCCTCTTCTTCGAGGCGCACAAAGCCATCGGCTCTCTCATTGAGTTCGTCCATGGTA